TTTCGGACGCGGCTGCAACTGCGGCGCCTGGGACTCCGGCTATGAATATAGGATTCTCTCTCCTTCGTTTATCCCTCCTCCTCGTCTCTCCTCTCTCTCTCTCTCTCTCTCTCTCTCTCTCTCTCTCTCTCTCTCTCTCTCTCTCTCTCTCTCTCTCTCTCTCTCTCTCTCTCTCTCTCTCTCCCTCCCTCTTTCCCTCTCGCTCTTCTTCTCCTCTCCTCTCCTCTCCCTCTCCCTCTCCTTCTCTCCTTCTCCCTCTCTCCTTCTCCCTCTCCCTCTCTCCTCTCCCTTCCTTCTCCCTCCCCTCTCCTTCCCCTCTCCCTCTCCCTTCCTCTCCCTCTCCCTCTCCCTCTCCCTTTCTCCCTTCTCCCTCTCCCTCCCTTTCTCCTCTCCCTCTCCTTTTCTCTCCTTCTCCCTCTCTCCTTCTCCCTCTTCCCTCTCCCTCTCTTCTCCTCTCCTCTCCCTCTCCCTCCTCTCCTCTCCCCCTCTCTCTCCCTCTCTTCTCCTTCTCCCTCTTCCTCTCCCTCCTTCTCCCTCTCCCTCTCCTTCTCATCCTCCCTCTTCTTCTCCTTCTCCCTCTCCCTTTCTCTATTTTCCGACCATCCCCCTCTTTCTTTCTCTCCCCCCTCCCTCTCTACTCCTTTCTCCTCTCTCTTCATCCCCCCTCCCCCTCTCTCTCCTCCACTCCCCCTCCCTCTCCCTCTCACGTCCACTCCGTCTCTCTGCGTTCCCTTCGGCGCAAGTTCCCCTCGGATGGCTGGCCTCCTTAACCCCTTGGCCACGGGTCCTCGGCCCCGATACCTCCGTCGAACGCGGAAGGGAGGGACGTCTGCGCTGCGAGGTCGGGGGGCGCGGGGGGGGGGGGGGGGGCATCTGGTCCCAGGGCGTTTCCTCGCTCCCATTTTCCGCGCCCGCAGCAGTAGCGCCCGACTCGTGGTATCATGCCATTAATCTCAATTAAGCAATCAGTCACTTAATAGCGCACGCCATAATTATTCCGTCACCAGGCAGCGCTAAACCCGTCGCGACGCCGAACCGCCACGCATTTCGTCATGCCTTTTCGTGCTCTCATCGGAGGGAGGCCGCGGGCGTGCGGGAATGCGAAGCACCGCAACGTGCTGCACCCTACACGCCCACAGGCAAGCGGGCGCAGGTGCCTCCGACCACAGGCAGAACAGCCGCTGCTTGCACGGGCGCAGACGGCGTTCCGGCCGGGAGCTGCCTCATTCAGTTCCGCGAGAAGTCATCTGGCAATCAGTCTGGGGAAGAAGCCGCCCTCGGTCACGCCCGCCGCCCGCCGCCCGCCGCCGGGCTCGGCCTCTTCATCAAAGTTGCATGCATGCAATTTCAGAGGAGCTCCGGCCAGAAGCGTTTACATATAAAACACTGCAACTGCTAACACGAGGCACACACGCGCACCACAAGCAATGTGCTCAAACAATTTGATATTTCCAAGGCAAATGTCCATAACACACGCACGAGCGGCCATTCCTGACGAAAAGGATACAGTCCGCGATTAGCGGGCTGTATCCTGTAGTTCCTCGCTATCAGCAGGCTTCACGAATGCCGCAGACGCAGATGCTCATCACATACAGTTCTCAGACGCTGATCATAAGCAATATAGTGTGTGAATGTGATGTGTGTGTGTGTGTGTGTGTGTGTGTGTGTGTGTGTGTGTGTGTGTGTGTGTGTGTGTGTGTGTGTGTGTGTGTGTGTGTGTGTGTGTGTGTGTGTGTGTGTGTGTGTGTGTGTGTGTGTGTGTGTGTGTGGTGTGCGTGTGCGTGCGTGCGTGCGCGCGCATCCTTAAACTCACTGTATGTATTTACAACCAAAACAAAAAACGTACACGCTAACAAGCATACATGCATATCTACTCGGCTAAGTCCGTGTGGCCGCCTTGTGCCCGCTCTCCCGAAATCGTATGTGCGAATTACCAAGCGCAATTGGACGCATGACGCGGCTTCGGCTGACAGGGTCACCCGACCCGCGCGCTCCAAGCGTGTCTTCGCCGCTGGCAGCGCCTGCTCGACGCGGCGGCGAGCGAGGGGGCAGTGGGGGGGGGGGGGGGGGTCGTCCTTCGCGGAACACTGGAAAGAGCTACTTTCTATAAGGGGTGGGGTGGGGGGCATATCGCTTCATACACTCGTTTTACCAATGCATGTTCTGTGTGGATGATGTTCTTGCCCTGTGAGCGTAGTGGCAAAGGGATGGATGACCAACGAAGGCATCCGCGTGACCTTTGGCCCTTCCCCCTCTCTATTATGCAACCATCCGTCACCTACTGGAGAACTCAGGCACAGATACTTCCACCGAAACACTCGTCTATACTGACATATTTGCGCGAACGGACACACACACACACACACAGAGTCTCTCTCTCTCTCTCTCTTTCTCTTTCTCTCTCCCTCTCCCTCTACCTGGGTAGATGCGTGCGCACGTGCGTGCGTGCGTGTGTGTGTTTGTAATAAGAAACAAACACACACAGGGTAGAAAGGGAGCCCTCGATGACATAGTTGTGTGTGTCCCGTATATGGAAGAGGGCGTGCATAATCCTCCCCCTC